CTCTCCCTCTTCCTCTCCCTCTTCCTCTCCCTCTTCCTCTCCCTCTTCCTCTCCCTCTTCCTCTCCCTCTTCCTCTCCCTCTTCCTCTCCCTCTTTCTCTTCCTCTTGTCTTCCTCTTGTCTTCATCTTCTCTTTCTCTTCCTCTTTCTCTCCCTCTTCCCTTCCTCTTCTCTTTATCTTCTCTCCCTCTTCTCCCTTTCCCTCTCCTTCTTTTTCTTCTTCTTCCTATTTTCTTTAACGTTTTTCTTATTGAAGGAGGAAACGGAGTGTAGCAAGTCATGAAAGGCTGAGACAGGCTGTGCTAGGCAGGAGAAAGGTCTTCATCTCCAAGTCTTCTTTTGTGACAATAGGCCTGGAGTGAATCTGTCCCGTTCGTGCTCCAGAGAAGGGTCCAGAGTGCCCTGGGAACCAGTGCCATGGTGGAGCCAAACAGGCACAGCAGTGGCAGCCCACCCTGGAGGCAGTGGTTTGTCCATATTTGTCATTCCATGGCCATCTCTATTCCTGCAGGATGGGGGCAGGTGTGTAGGTGCTGGGCTGGGTCAGCTCCTGGAAGCATTTGCTTGTGTTGGTGCACATCAGAGTTCCTGCTGCACTGTGAGAGGAGCTGAGATCCCAGATGGAATGAGAATGAGGCCAACTCCAGACCGTGGTGACCTTCTAAGATGTGTCCCCACCACTGAGAAGGCTGGGGGTGCGCTGGGAGCCAGGACAGTCCATCAGGACAGGCTCTGGCTTCACTTAACCTTTGTCATGATTTTGGTATCCCCTTGACCACTTCTTCAACCCAAAAGAACTCCTTTGGTCCTGGGCACAGCCTCCCAAACCCAAACAGCCTCCCAGATCTGTGTCCCCCTTCCAGCCACATCACTGCACAGCCACCACCCTCTTCCCACCTGCTGCCCTTTGCCATCTTCTCCCATCCCCAGCTCACAGAGACAGAAGTGACCCCTCGGACCCTGGGCATTGCTCCCTTCTCCCTGGCCCTGCTGGTGAGGATCCAAGCCTGGGGAACCCCAACAGGAACGTTTCTCACACACTTTGTGGATTAGTGTCTCGCTCCCTGGTCTTTTTCTTTTGGAAGCAGGACCTCCTGGCTCTGCTGGCTCTGCCAGGCTGAGCAGCTCTGGCACTGCTGGAGAAAACTTGAGGGCACAACAGATCTCATCAGCTGTGGAGCTGCTTTCTATTCCCTTGGCCCCCTGTATATCTTGTCCAAGATCCTCTGTGCAGCATCCCCAAGGTCCTTGGATACCATCGGGACCTGGTGGTGGGACCGGTGGGACACCTCTGCTTGATGCCATCCTCCAGCTCCTCCTGTGAAGTTTTTGGTGTTTTGTGCTCCCTCCAGTCTCTCACACCTCTATGTCTGTCCCATCTGTTGTTCCATGTCTTCACCTGCTCCCCTTGGTGAAGACCACGTGGGACCTGTGGCCAAAGGTAGATGCCCAGTGAGGAGCAGAGCAGGAATATCAGATACTTTCCAAGGTGGAAATATCAGGTACTTTCCAGCCCTCTGGACTGCAGGGGCAGTTCCTGTTCCATAGCTGGAACATTCCCATCAATGCATTCATGGCTGGTTCAGAAGTGTCTTTGAAAATTCAGTGTCTTATTTGGGACTTTTCCGGTCCCTGAGAACTGGGGGAATTTCACATGTGCTGTCGCCTACCAGGGCTCAGCGTTGCCTCCTGGAGCTCTGTTGGAAGCCCTGGCTGGGTGAATTCTGCTCATGGAAACCTCACAGAGCTGCTTTTGTTTGTCCTTCCGCAGCCCCTCACAGGGAGCCTTTGACAGTGGATGAAAAGGGCTCTGTGCTGGGAGCAGGAGTAAATCCCTCTATTTACTATGGGACAAGGGCACTGAATGCGACATATTTGCTTTTCTCTGAGTGCTTCTTTATCCTCCCATCACCTGCTTGCTCTTGGGTTTCCTGCCCCAGATGTTTGAAGAAGGATTTGATGTTTCATTGTGGTGCTGTTTGTAATTTCTTCCTTCAAGTTGTGACTCATTTAGCTTTCACTTTTCCTCCCCAGGGAGCTTGTTTGGGACTGTCATCTTGCTTTGGCCGCAGTTTCAGCTGGTTTGAAGGAGACCTTCTGACTTTCAGAGCCCTCCTGGCTTCCCTCTGCCCATCTTACATTTCTCTCTTAACTGTGAGACCAAATGTCTCTCTGATATGGCAGCCTGGATAACACCTACTTGTATTTAACTCCTTAAGTAAATGCTCCAGCCCTTAATTGAAACAAACCTTCCCCATCTCTCTGCAATGCTGAACCCAACCACGGTGGCATCTTGGCTTTTGCTGCCTCAGCAGAAATTTGGCTTTTCCCTGGTGCTGCCCAATCCTGGGCGCTCCGACCTCGCTTTCCTTCTCCTCCTCCTCTGTGTTTCTCCCCCGTTTTCTCCACAGCGCAGGTCTCCACACATCTAAAAATCGCTCTGTGCACGCTTCCCGGTGGGATATTCCCATTCCAGTGGGAAGCAGCCAGGCACAGGGCACTGCCACTCAGCTGTGACCCTCCTAGGTGACACCAGAGCCAGCGAGATGCTGGAGCTGGCCTGCATGCACACGCTCTTCCTGCGGGAGCACAACCGCCTGGCCGGGCAGCTGAAGAGGCTCAATCCCCACTGGAATGATGAGACCCTCTACCAGGAGGCACGAAAGATCCTGGGAGCCATGATCCAGGTACCATCTCACACAGCCTGGCTCTGCCTGCAGTCTCACAGCATTAATGTTAGAGGCTCTGTCGGGACGGGGTGGCCAAAGGGTGTGAGGTTTTTGGGGCGCAAAGGCCCAAATTCTTTCCACCAGCCCCTTTCAACCAAAGCAAAATCACACGGAGATCCCTGAAATAACAAGCACAGAGGGGTCCCCCCCAGATCTGGGATGTCCCTTTGCTGTTAAATTCAAAAATTGCTTGGTGGTTTCTAACTGCACTTTTTTGTTCGAGAAACAGGCAGAGAAGTGAGAGGAAAAGTTTTTCTAACCAGTGTTTGGTACTTGATAAAAATGGTACTGGAAATTTGGATTAAAATTCCTCTGGGTTGGCAGTCTCCTCCTCTCAATGGTTCCCTGCCCATGGCAGGGGGCTGGAATGAGATGATCTTTCAAGTGCCTTCCAACTCAAACCATTCTGGGATCCTATGAAGAAGCCCCATGTGCTGGTGGGTGCAGCCTGCCATGGTGTTCCTCTGTCCTCTGGGGCAAAGAGCCCCTTGGGACTGTGCTGCACCCCAGACTTCACCCTGAACGAGACCTGAGGGTCACAAAAATATTTCTGTGCTTGGAAAGGACCTCTCAAGGTCTCTTGTGCAGCCTCCAGTTTGGAGCAGGAGCAGCTTCAAAGCCAGATGAGGTTTCACAGCCAACACAAAAGGCTGGTTCTTATGAGAAGGAGACATGGAGTTCCCAAAGGCAGTGCTTAGTCAGACCTACTTGGAAACTTGTCTTCTGATCTGGCTTAACAAGCAATAAAAACCAGGAATATCAAAATGTTTAAGGTTTTTTTAACTGTCAATTTAAATATTATAGTATTTTTGGATAAACAGGTAAGGCAATGTGGAGAGACTCAAATGGTTGTTCTAAAGGCATCATCTCCATCACTGTGTTGACATCAATGGTTTCATCTTCCTGCAGTTTTCAGAAAAGTAATCTATTTTCTTCTCCTGACACAGAATTTTTTTTTATTTTTTTTAATTGTATTGTGGCACTTCCTCAATATCTCAGAGAGACATGAGGGCAGGGTTGGAATCCTCTGCTATGGGAGAGCTCTCAGGGCTGCCCATGGGTGGTGTCATCCCATGTGCCAAAGCTGCCAACGTTATCTTTGCCATCTCAGGGTGCAGTTCTGCCTGGCTGATGGGAGACAATATTTGGGAGGGTTTGGCATTCTCGGAATCAATTAGGTTGGAAAAGACCTCTGAGTTCATTGAGTGCAACCAATTGTTATCTTGCTCTGACCTATCAAAGCATTGAGGAACAGAGGCCGTGTCTGGGGACACCGGAGTGCTGAGCATCAGGGGGTAGGTAAGAGGGTGTGTGTGGATCAGGCACGAGCAGTGGCCGTGCTCCCTGGTGGTCCTGGGGTGTCCACGCTGTGTTTTCACCCAGCTCCCTGCACGTTCATGCAAAGCTCCTCAGTGTTAGAGGGTGTGGAGATCCCTCCATGCCTGGCTGGAGAAGGCAGGAGTGTGGGCAGTGCCCTGCAGTGCCTGTGTCCGCGTCTGGAGCTGCACATGGACAGCTGCAGAAGAGGTTTTGTGGAGAAACAAAAATGTCCCTCCACAGTGGCAGAGAGGATCCCCACTAGGCTGCCAGAGCAGCTGGGTGAAGGTGTGGTGAGGTGAAAGGCGGGTTGGCCCTGGGGTGGTCCATCAATCCCATCAGAGCAGCTCCACGTGACAGCTCCTGTCGTTTGACAACACGAACAACAACTTTGCTTCTTCAGAACCTGCCAGCCAAGACACCGATGGTTCATCCTCGCCTTGTTTCCCCCTAGATCATAACCTACAGGGACTACCTGCCTCTCCTGTTGGGATGCAGGTTCCAGCATCTGATTCCTCCTTACCGGGGCTACAACGAGTTTGTGGATCCTCGGATATCCAACGTCTTCACCCTGGCCTTTCGCTTCGCCCACGCTTCAATTCCCCCCACTGTGGGTCGCCTAAATGAGAGTTACAAGCCCATAACACCCGAAATTCGACTTGGAACCTCCTTCTTTGCCGTCTGGAGGATCCTTCAAGAAGGTAAAGCCTTTTTCTTGCAGTGAGTTTATCCCGCTCAGCCTTTTCTGCCCTCTCTGGATGAGCTCCTGCTTCAGCCAAATTTAAAAGCACTTTGTATTAAGTGTATTTTGTATTAAATGACCTCTTCAACCAGCCAGAGTTTTCCCAACAGAGCTGTTCCCTGCAGTCAAGTGCAGCCCATCATGTTACGGAGCTCATGGTTTGATCTCTTAATTGCTGTCGCCTCCAAGAACATTATTCAAAGCACTTTCTAATTCTTTGAGGGCAGGAAAATTGATTCTCACGTAGCAGAAGCTCGTAATTGAATACAAGCCATGCTCAGCTCTCTCGAGCCTGTTACACACCCGCCGGTCTCCCCGCACTGCTCACACATCCCTGTGTCACCATTCCAGGTGGGATCGATCCCTACCTGCGGAACCTGATGGCCAGTCAGGCCAAGCTGATGACGCAGCAGCAGATGGTGGTGGATGAGCTGCGGGACCGGCTCTTTGAGCGGGTGGAGAGGATTGGCTTCGACTTGGCCGCGCTCAACATGCAGCGGAGCAGAGACCACGGCCTGCCAGGTGAGCTGCTGTGGGAGCAGGGCTGCCCAAGGACGTGGAAATCAGGCGCTTCTGCTTGGGCACTGAGAAACATCTCCAGCCCATGACTGACTGAGATTACCTCGGAGCTGGACCTGATCCTTGTGGGTGCCTTCCAACTCAGGATAGTCTGTGATTCCCTGATGCTCTTTCCCAAACCTCTTCCTTGTTTCTGGATGACCATAGGTAAGTGGGGGGAGGTTGGGCGATGCAGGCAGAGCCTGGATGAAGCTGGAGGAGACATGTGAGGCAGAACACGGGGCACTGCACAGAGCAAAGTTTGCTGTTCGGTGACTGACTTGTATTTTTCAAATAGAAAAGTTGGTGAAGTATTTCAGCAACAAGTTTGCAGGAGTGGAATTAGGGCCAGAAGTCCCCCGTGGCTTCTCTCCAAGCATCTGTAGTGATCCAGCCCAGCCCCACGTGACTGGAAGAGCAGATTCCAATATGTGAGGAAAACCTCATGGTAATTTCTCTACAAAGACCGTGTCCCAGAACAAAAGGCATGTCAGAACCACTCTCAGGGCTCTGCAAGGGGCAGAACCAGTGTAATGGCATTGCAAGATGCTCTTGAGAAATAGATTGTTGGTGGGACTCCACAGGTGGGTCGTTGCCCAACACTGTTATTAGTCTGATGTAAGTGCCTGGAGCTGCTGTGTCAGTAAATCCTTTGAAACTGTGATGAAAAGTGAGCTGGATCCACAAGTCTGAAGCCCAGTCGGAGGCTTTGCAGCACACCCAGGGGCATGGCCAGGTCACAGGATTGCTCTGCCTTGGCTGAAAGAGAAGGCTGTGATTTTTCCACGCTTTAAGTAGGAACATCATTGTGCAGAACCTCTTCTGAACCACAAATCCTGAGTTTCTAGCTCTGACTCCAGACCTGCCATAGTGGAAGTCACAGGTATTTCTGAATTTGTGAATTAGTGAGTTTCTGAATTGGTGAATGCGTGGTTAGCTTTGGGTCTCAGCCACCCTGAGTTCCACTGTACTCCTGGTATTAGTCAGCTACGAAGGTGGTGATGGCACAGCAAGGTCAAAACAACCTTCCTAATTGATTTTTGATGAAGAAAATTCTCAGTCTCCTGGAATTATTTAGTGGTGTCATCCGGGCACCATATGCTGTGTCTTCTTCTCCAAATTCTCCCCAGTTTTTAGACATAGGACAGTAGGTTTAGATGGGATATTGGGAAGAAATTCTTCCCTGTGAGGGTGGGGAGGCCCTGGCACAGGTTACCCTGAGAAGCTGTGGTTGCCCCAGCCCTGGAAGTGTCCAAGGCCAGGTTGGAGCAACCTCGTCTGGTGAAAGATGTCCCTGCCCACGGCAGGGGGTGGAACAAGACAGGCTTTAACGTTTTGGCTTCCAACTCAAACCATTCTGTGCTCACAGCAGAGGGTTTTTGTCCACCAAGAAGCAGAATTATGCACCAGTTGTGGCCCAGTGGATTTTTGGCTGTTTACAGTACAGGAAAAATTAGTCCAGCTGGCAAAGTCTGATGGCTGAAGTAACTTGGGCTGCGTGGTGTGGGATGGCTTGTCCCTGTGACTATACAGGGACCAGCTGTGGGGAAGCACTTGGCCACTGTCCTGTTGTCCAGAAAGAGGGACCATCAGCATCTTGTCCAGGTTGAAGGCAACATAAGCTGCATCCCTGCTGAGTGGAACAGAATGTGACTGGAAGGTGGTGGAACATCTCCCACCAGCAAAGATCACCTGCAAAGTCATGGCCCTCCCAAAACAGCATTGAAAGGCCAGGCAGGAGGAACGGGCTCTGGAGGAGTGGGAAGTCAATGGCACTAGCAGAAACATAAAAAAAATGCTTTAAACATTTTGGGGCCCTCCCTTGTGTCCCAGCTTTGGGAAAGAGAGGATAAGGTCTTTCCAGGAGGTGGTAACACGTTACTGATCTGTCTCTGATACCCAACCACTCGCAGGTTACAACTCCTGGAGAAGATTCTGTGGGCTCTCACAGCCTTCTGGAGTGAAGTCCCTTGGTCGAGTGTTGAGGAATCAGGACCTGGCCAGGAAGTTCCTACAGCTCTATGGGACCCCCAATAATATTGACATCTGGATTGGGGCCCTTGCAGAGCCCTTTGTGGAGGGAGGCAGAGTTGGGCCTCTCATGGCTTGTCTCATTGGCACCCAGTTCAGGAACATCCGTGATGGGGACAGGTAAGAGGGGGAGCTGGTAATCCCAACCCCAAAGGACAGAGAGGCTGGAGTTTATGGAGATTTCTTCAGGCAGATTTGGAAACTTCCAGCTGTTTAATGCTCTTCTTTTCACTACTACTCCAAACATTTCTTTCCCTTTCTGGTGATGTTCCTTGTCTAATGGTTGAGATCCTGGGCTAAGATCCCTTCCCAGCCGAGTGTTTTCACTCTCAGCCTGTTCACTACCAGTCATTACTTGTGCAAATTGGGTTGCCCTTCTCCACGTGGGAATGTTGGAGCCCTTTTCCTCCCTCGGATCAGTGCTCTCAAGGTGTTACTGTGTGTTCAACCAGCAGCTCCCTCCAGCAGGAAGGGAAACATAACAAAAAACCTTAGCAAGAGAAACAGGTACAGCTCTAAAGGTGGGAAAACCAGGATCTGGGTGGATTGACTTCATCCAGTTGGAGCAAGATCTGTCAGGTCCAAACTTATTGCACTGGAAGCAACTGCTCAGTATTTGCTGAGGTGGTGGTTTCTGCTTTGAGGGGCTTTGAAAAGTCACCTGCAGACCAAGGGATGGTGCTGAAGGACTGACACACTTCCAGGCTTTTTAGGGAGTAAAAGAGGTGAAATATTCCCTCTTGGTTGGGTCCCAGCTCAGCCCAAGCTGCTCCCCCAGCACTGGCAGCATCCCTGTCCCCTCCCTGCCGTGCCTGTAAAACCCAAACACCTGCTCACCTCCCAAATTCTGAGCTTGCAATACACATTTTTGTCCATCTCAGTGTCTTCTGTACTTCTCAGGGGTTGGGAGGTGATTTCTCACTGTTTCTCCTTTCTGAGCTGGAACTCCGTGATCTAACGTGTAGCAGGGTTTGGTCTTGGCTTGCACCAAGATGTGGGTTGGGGTTTCCTTGTCAACCAAAATCCCTTCAGCAGTGTTGAGCTTTGAGCATCCCTGAATTCCTCTTCCTCCTTGAGGCTGCTCAGGGGCATCAGGTGCAGCAGTGTCCTATTTTAAGCTGCATTTCTGAAGCAAGATCCCTGCACCTGCCAGCAATATTGCCTGAAAATGGCATCACAACCCCTGTTTCTGGGAAACAGTTCTGCCTAGAAAGACTTAGGATGAGCTCAGACGCCAGTATTGGGAGCTTAGAGGCAAACAGTCCATTGCACATCTAGAAATCCTCTTCTTATGGCAGGAAACAAATGCTTTTTTTAAAAAAATTGGGTAATTACAGGGCTGGTTCCAGCACAGCAATCATGTGGCTGTAACCAGGGTCTGTGCAGCCTTTCCTATTTGAAAGAGGAGCCTGTGCCTCATCTGAGGGAACACAGGGCAATTAATTCAATTGCAGCTTTATTATAAGTCCATGGGCAAAAAAAAAAAAAAAAAAAAAAGGCAAATTAAATTATCCAGCTGGTGACTCAGGGCTCTTGATTTAAATAACAGAAATTTGAATTTGTTCTTGGCAACAGAACTGTGTTATTGGTGTTAATGTGGGAGTCCTGAACGTGAAGAAGCCAGAAGGCAAAAATCTGTTGTGTGTACTTGTTTCTCCTGCAGGTTTTGGTGGGAGAACCCTGGGGTTTTCACGCCTCAGCAACGCCAGGCACTGGCCAAAATCTCCCTGTCACGAATAATTTGTGACAACACCGGCATCACTAAAGTTTCAAGGAACATCTTCAGGGCTAACAGGTACCCCGAGCACTTTGTGAGCTGCAGTCAGATCCCAAAGCTGGACCTCAGACCCTGGAAGTCACCGTGCACCAAGGAGCAAGGTAAGAGCTTCCCAGAGCTCCTGCCTGCAGGCACGGGGGAGAACCAGAGCCAGGGGCTTCAGCCAGAGCTGCCTGGTGGGGCTCTGGGCCTGTGTGCCAGGTACACCCCTGGGCCATGTGCCAGGTACACCCCTGGGACATGTTTGGACTCTCCATTTTATCAGGTGCACTGGGAGTGGCTCCTCCAAAGTGCAGATTTTCCAGCCCTGGCAGTGCAAGACCAAGCCAAGTGCCCTGTTCTGGGATTCTGAGGAAAGGCTGAGGGAGCTGGGGCTGTTCAGCCTCCAGAGCAGACCCTGAGAGGGG